AAAAAACGTCCGCAGTTACCCCTCCTCAGGTTAACGGAAAAAACATTGATGAAGATGGTCCTTGGACAACAGTTACACATGTAAAAAAGCCAAGAATACCACCTCTAATAGCAGAAAATGTAACAGATTGAAAGTTGCTCTGCCAAGAGCTTAAAGACCTGTGCACAGATAAATTCCAATGCGCGATATCAGGAAATAAGCACATTATCAAGGCCAAAAATATGTCAGACTTCAAAAAATCAGGGAATGTTAAAAAAAAAAAACAATGGCGGCTACTCTTATAGACTCCAAGAAGAAAAACCGCTCAAAGTGGTATTAAAGGGCGTGACATCAGCCTACAAGACTGAAGATATAGCAATAGAACTTGCAACAATGGGATTTACTGAGACCTCTGTGGAGAGACTTCATAGACAATCAATTAAAAGGCCAATGAATTTAGTACTAGTAGTATCACCGAAAAATGAACATAACAAGAAAATTTATGGAATAACTGAACTTCTCTACCAGAAAATTGCAGTAGAATCTTTCAGAACAACAAACCGTGTCACTCAATGCTTCAACTGCCAGGGTTTCGGGCACGGTCAACTTAACTGCTTCCTGAAACCAAAATGCGTCAAGTATGCAGAGGAGCACCATTCGAAGAGCTGCCAAAGAAAGTCAAGACAATTTCCCCAAAGTGTGCAAACTGCGAAGAAGCGCACACGGCCAATTACCGCGGATGCCCTAAGTTTCCAAGAGTACATCAGCAACAGCCAAGATACCCTGGTCAGTACAAACTAACAACCCAATTCCGATTTCACAAAGATCTGAAACACTGCCGAAAATTGTAGAACAACAAAACCAAAGCAATGCTGAGGTTGTGACAAGAAAAACTTCTCGTTCTGAAACTAAGGACCTGTGTGAAAATTTGATGCAAGTAATCAAAACATACCTACAATGAATTGCAAATTACCTTTTAAAATTATTGCTTGGAATTGTAACTGAGTCAAATCAAAGAAAGAAGAATTATTAGACTTTTTAGAAGATAACTCAATAGACATTGCTCTGCTCAGTGAAACTCATCTTAAACCATCAATTGATCTAAAGTTCAGGAACTATAAACCATTAGAACTGACCGAATTACAGGAAAGGATGGGGGAACAGCCATCATTATAAAATCCTTTTTTAAATATAAAAATATGATGATTCATACTTCGAACTTGGAAAATACTTCAATATTGATAAAATCAGATGGAAAAACCTTCTTGCAAATCGCAGCAATTTATAAGAAGCCTGAGGCACCATTATTGGAAGAAGATTTGAACCAACTGATAAAACACAACCACGCAATAATCGTTGCAGGAGTCTGGAACTCCAAACACCCTCTTTGGGGATCAAAGACTTCTAATAACAGTGGAATCGTGCTGCACAATTTCTCTGAAAGAGAAAGCCTCGACATTGTCGCACCTTCGTCACCCACGTATTTAAGTCTATTCGGCAATCCCGATTTCCTAGACTTCGCTGTTTTTAAAAACATTCCCTGGACCCCAAAGGCCAGAACAACCAACGATTAATCATCTGACCATCTCCCTGTAATCTTTGAATTGAATTGTCCAAAGGATACATTCACAACCCAGCTCAGCCGAGTAACTAATTGGGTTCATTTTTTCAACAAGATCTAATCTCCACCACGCCCCCCCCCCCCAGACTCCCCTTGAAAACTAAAGTAGACATTGATTCAGCAGTTGGAATTTTAAACGAGAAAATTAATAATAGCTACTCGAAAAACACCATAGTCTCATCTTCCAAATTAATAAATAACCCAAAAACCAAAGCCTTAATAAGGGAGAAAAATAAAGCTAGGAAAAGATCGCAATCAACCTGGGATCCAGCTCATATATATATATATATATATATATATATATAGAGCTACTTACCTCAATCTTCAAGGAAAGGTGAATCAAGCCCTTGAAGCAGAGAAATCTTAAAATTGGAATAGTATTTTAAGCAAACTTGAATCGAGCCCAACAGACTTCTGGAAAAAAACAAAACCCATTAGGAAAAAAATTGACAAAATCACTAGTTTAAATGCAAATGGAAAAACTTAGCTGACCGACAAAGAAATTGGAAATGATCTTTCAGAGCATTTTTCCAAGCACTTTTCCAAGGCGGAGGATGAGGTTCCGTCTTACCTAACAGATAAAACTTGCCATCATCCCCAAGAGAATATACTATCAAAGACAACGCCAAATGAAGTCAAGGAAGTGATTAAAAACTTAGGAAATCACAAAGCTCCAGGCCACGACAATATTACGCCGCAAATGACTAAATTCCTCCCCATCAAATGGATAGTTTTCCTTCCTGGGATCTTCAATGCTGCATTACACCTGTGCTACTTCCCAGAGACATAGAAAAATGCCATTTTCATAACCATTCCAAAAAAAAAAAATCACCTGAAGATCTCAGACCAATCATCCTTCTCTCTACCATCGGTTAGGTATACCAGAGGATTATTCTTCGCAGATTGCAGACATACATGGATTCTATTAACTTTATCATTCCTTAAACATTTTGGATTCAGAAAAGGACACTCCATAACCCACCAGCTAATCACAGTAATAGCCTACATCCAAATAAGAAAGTCCCACAAGAAGGCGGTAGGTGCTGTTTTTCTAGACTTTAGCCTTTGATAGAGTATGGCCTGAAGTCTTGATAACAAAAATAACTAAAATTCAATTTACAAGGGAATTTATCAAATTCTTGAAAAATTATCTCCAGGACAGGACCTTTTCAATTAAGCAAGGGAATTATATAACCACGGCAAAACCAACCCAGATTGGAGTCCCTCAAGGCTCTATCCTTGGACCCTACCTATTCAACATCTACATCAACGATTTCTCTCCACATCCAAAATGTCCAATAAAACTTTTCGCAGATGACGCAGAAATTTTATCAAACTCCAAATCAAGAGGAATAATAACTACACAACTCCAAAATGACATAAACAGTATAACCAAATGGTGAAATGGTTGGAAATTAGACATCAACTCAAAAAGTCTCAGGCAATAATTTTTCCTTCATCAGACAATAAAAAATTCAAGCCACTATCCATCCTAAAGGTAAACCAGAGCCCTATTAACTGGACTGACAGCCTTAAATATCTTGGAGTTAACTTAGACTCCAAGTTGAAATTCAGCATGCATGTCAAAAATATCATAAAAAAAAGCAAAAATCGCAAAAATAACATTATCAAACCTGTTCAACTATAGAAGCAAATTGACTACAAAACAAAAGTCTACTCTATACAGAAGTTGTATCCTCCCGATAGTAATATACGCACTCCCAGTTTGGTGCAAATATATTACAACGACAGACAAAAATAGGATAAACGCATTTATGAGAATCTGCCTTCGGACAAGTATAGGAGCTCCATTCAACCTATCAAACAAGATACTAAAAGAGGACTTGAACCAACCCGATATAGAAGATATGTACCAAACTTACGTTAAGAAATTATACCTTCTAATGCAAAATTCAAATAACCCAACCATACAAGATATTCTACAAAATAAAGGAGATATCAATCCACGATTCCGACGACCCTGCCCTGACACTTATTTAAGAGCTCATCGCTCAACAGCTGCCCTCCTGCAAGGTCCGGGGGGACCACCTTCACTCCACCAACTCGCCATGTGTAAATAGCCAGGCCAAGGTGACTCACGAGCTCTGCTCGAATGTAACACCTGTAAATTGAGACCAAATAAAATAAATGTAAGGTAGTTAGTTATGAAGAGAAATTAAAAAGTATTAATTTCTTCGAGGTATTGGTGATTACTCTGCTCGATGATAGAATAGGAAAGTCTTAGCTCGAACATATTGTGTTTATAATTTTGCAATTGTTTTGAGAATCTAAAGTTATAGATTCAAATGATGAAAAGGCTTGAAAGCTTGACATTTCATCTTTATATAAAAAAACATTTTATAATTATCTTGATTGGTATATTGTGTTTATAAGATTCTATATCGCGCGTTATAAGTGATAATTTCAAAAGGCAAAGCTTATTTTTATCTTTATAGAGAAATTTATTACAATTATCTTGATTGGTACATTAACACAACGTAATAAGACTAAATCCAAATAAATAGTGTGTGACTTTTCGGTAACAGAATTGTTACCGTCATCAGATAAAAGCACTGAATTCCGACACTATTTATTTAGATTTGGTCTTATTATCTTGTGTTCATAATCTATAATCTAAATTGTGTTATACCATTGATTGGTGTATTGTGTTTATACCTTTACAATTATTTTAAGAAAATCTATAGCAATAAGCTATGATGCATTAGCGCGCCATTTGTTATAAAAATACGAAACTATTTTAGACGCGTATGATTCTTTTAAAAATAAAATAATTTCTACTGCCCTTACTGCAATGGGGAAAATTAATGGGAGGCACTGATGAGCCAGGCCCTCCCATTAATTTTTTTCATTGCAGTAAGGGCAGTAGAAATTGTTTTATTTTAAAAAGAATCATACGGGTCTAAAATAGTTTCGTATTTTGATAGCTATAACTGATAGATTCAAAAAGGAAAGGTACTTAGTCAAATTCAGTGGTCCAGGAAATTAGATTTTCAAGAAGAGAGAGGGTCCTGGGGTTAACGACAGACATAAAAGTGTCGGGAAAAAAGGACTCCCTAATAAGATCATGGCGGCAATAAACCAGATACCATCAGGGAAGTACATAAGTCAATGGACCCTTTGTCCTCACAGCCCAACTCTCTCTCGATAAAACTCCTAATCTGGAGAGTAGTAAGTTGATGATGATTATCATTCTCGTCCAGCTAGACAATGACAATTATCATAATTTTGTAAACGACATTTGAAATTATCCCGCAAGTGTTTCTTTAAAACGAAAAATCGAAATTTATTTTAAGGAAAAATAACGAATATTTAGAACCTTAAGGATGACGTATGAAAGGATGAATTGTGAAGAGTAATGATAAACGGAAAAAATAAAAGTATCCAGGGATGGGAATCGAACCCACAGTGTTCTGCTTACCGGGCAGATGCCATGTCCACTAGGCTACCCTGGACAAATTTCTCCTTTCGTAAATATTAAAAAAAGTAATCATCAATCAATCATAAGAAACAAATGCGGGATATTTTCAAATGTCGTTCACAATCATAAGCCGCATTATATTGTATTATAACATAATTTTATTGAAATATATTTGGTTGTTTTTGCTTGAAGAAACAAAGCGGGGATTCTTAGGTGACTTATCTTTGTCTCAATCCGATAGTCAACAAATATATAACTGGATAATTGCAATGACCTTTAATCAAGTTCTTCTCTTCGGTTTATATAAATTCTACAAGGCCGTTGTAACCGTTCGGAGGAGATTAATAGAATGACCGAATGTCGTAGTCCATTTGGATGAGGAAAGCGAAACTAGAACGCGGCTGATTCCACACTCGTCTGTTCAGTGATACGCTAACCTTGACGTATGCACAAAGGAACTTGTGACCATTGAACTTGCGTCGGACCAGGAGGCTGTTGTTGGCTGCTGCCTGGAGTATAGGAGCTCCATCTATTATTGCTTCCTGTGGTGAATCTGTATAAGACTGGTGGTCTTAATAAAGTATGTGTGTGTATGATTTTATTGATATCTTATCAACACTTACAAAAGTTCAGAGTCTTCACTATTGTTTTAAAATGATAATTAGATATACAACAACAACAAAAACAACAAAAGCCTTTATTTAGGGCATTCCGCCCCATACAGGATTCGCCGTATTTACACGTCAACAAGAGGAGAGGGAAGAGGAAACATTTACAACAAAATAAGGTTTGACTCACATTCAGTTACCTATTTACAGATAGTTCATCCTCCAGTATCCTTTGCCCTGCATTCCTTCTCATGCGCCCAGCTTCTGTGCAGAACTTAAAGTATCTAACAATCAGTAATTCATCATTCAGAGCTGAAGAGAGAAGTTGACATATTCGATGGTATCTAAATTGACCAGAAGTAGGGCTTGGGAAAATTTCAGTTCGTTTTTCTGTTAAGAGAGGGCATTGGAAGAAATAGTGAACCAAATTATCATCCATGAGATCCTTACAAAGTAAACAGTTCCGGCCATTTTCTTTCCAGAAGTCTTTTCTTTCTTCCCTGAAAAATTGCCATAAAACTCTATGTTGTGCAACTAGTCTTTTGTTGGAAAGCGAGATATTTAATCGTAGGTACTCCTCTGTCATGAATGATTCACTCAAAAATTTGTAGTGAGCAAAGTGGGTTGAATCAGTGATTTTCATCTGATCGTTTTGAATTAGTTGGTCTGTGGTAGTTCTAATTATGCCTGGCAATTCTTTCTGTATGGCTAAGTAGTCTTCGCAGCCCTTAAGAAAGGAATATCCCTTAGAGTCTAGAATTTTTATTAAATTTTGAGTAAAACTCTTTTCTATTTCCTTTTTCGCGGTGACTTTCCAGAGATAGTTTAAGCAAGCATGTGGTAATCTGCTCGTCTCCATTTTTAGAATCCTGACCCAAAACTTCAATGTGAGTTTTACAGCATTAAGTTCAGTTGATATTCTTCCACATTCTCTTCTGAGGACATATCCTGGTGTGAAGTTTGGTAAGTCTAAGAGACGACGAAGAAATGCATCTTGGGTATTATTGACTGTCTTCAGCTGGTTAATTGCCCACATTGGTGCCGCATATAGTAAAGTAGGAAGAACAATAGTGTCAAGAAGTTTCATCACTGAGGTAAAGGACTTTATTCGCGCCTTTGTAAGGATTCTCCAAAGTGCATTAATTGCATTCAGTGCTTTGTTTCTAAAGTATTGGGAAGCATATTGGGTCGAGATTTTTGTAGTCAGAGGGTAACCCAGATATGTATACTTAGCTACTATTGTCAGGGGTTGCTGACCCCAAAACCATGTCTCGGAAAGAGCTGTTCTTCCACCGTTTCGAAACACCATTATTTTAGATTTATTTTGGTTTAACGTTAGGCAGTTCTCTTCTAAGTACTTTTTAAGTAAGTTAATCTTCAATTGCAAATTTATTTTCGATTATCCTAAGATCATTATGTCGTCTGCATACAGTAAAAGGTGTATAGTTCCATAATTCTCAAGATTTATGCCTGGCAATTCTGATTCATCGAACAGGTGTACCAGATCGTTTAGAAAGAGAATGAATAAATAAGGTGACAACGGCTCCCCCTGCAATACTCCCGCTTGTATTTTGATAGCCTCCGTGAAGGAACCCCGCCATCTGACTGTTGCCGTCATTTGGGTATAATAGTTCTTAATTAGTTTAATAAATCGGCAACTCAGACCATTTAATGCTAATTTTTCCCAAAGTAGATGGTGCGGCACAGTATCAAAGGCCTTCCTTAGGTCAATGAAGAAGGCATATAACTTTCCCCTTCTACGGCTAAGGGTCATTTGAATTAATGATACGAGCGTGAAAATGTGGTCCTGACAAGAGTAGCCTTTTCTAAAACCAGCCTGATTTTCTGCCAAAATTGACTTTCTCTCCATCCAATCATTCAATCTTGTCTTCAAGATAGATGTAAATAATTTCGATAGGTTAGAAATCAGGGATATTCCTCTGTAATTTGACGGGTTGTCCGGATCTCCATTTTTAAATATTGGGTGGATTATCGTTTTTGTCCATTGTTGAGGAACTTGGGATGTCCCTAAGATTTTATTAAATAAGTTCCTGAGATAAATTGTATGTTCTTCTAATAAATATTTAATCGCTTCGTTAGGAATTTCATTAAGTCCTGTAGCCTTATTTTTACCCAATTTGGAAATTTCCTTGGTGACCTCAGTTAGAGATATTTCACAATCTAATTCGGGGTCAATGTCCAATATCTCAAGTGGTAACTGTACAACTTTTGTTAAATTTGAACCAAGTAACTCCCGGTAGAAGACCTGCCAGTCTGCAGTAGAAATTTCACCTTGTAGGTTATTCCTATATTTAAGTGAATTAATAGTCTTCCAAAATTGTGAAGGATCTTTTACATTACTGAGGATAACTTGAATTTTGTCAGTATAGATTAGATAATTAGATATATACAACTATAAGAACTTTGAACTATTTTAGATACATATGATTCTTTAAAAAATAAATCATATTCCTATTACCCTCTACTGCAATGATAAAATAATGGAAGAGCCTGGCTTAACAGTGGTGAATCCTCACAGCGGTTTCGATAGTTTAATCTACCATACCGCTGTAATATTACATTCTTCGGTTTTCCTACTATACTGATACTAAATCTAGACTCTTGTAAGGTGTATTTTAAATTAAATATGGACATAACTTTGAGGAGAGTTTTTTTATTACAGTAAGAGCAGTAGAAAAAATTGATTTATTTTTAAAAGATTCATTCGCGCCAAAAATAATTCAAAATCTTATAACAGATGGCAAGCTAATGTATCATATACAACTATGTACAATGTACATTTAATTGATATTTTTGAGTCAAGATTTATTTATTACTAGTTGCAAATAAGACACGCTATATCCGATCTGGATAATTGCGCGTGAAACTATTCACAATAATTCATATTGTAGTAGAGTAGGTAAAATAATTGTCAAAAAGAAAATAAACAATTAAGAAAAAGAGTATTGAGTAAACATATACATGTAAAAAATAAGCAACAACATAAGCAGATAGAAGAAATCCCAAGATAGTTATTTACAATATGTTAAGCAATGATGGAAGTTGATTTAATGAAGTTTTCTGTAATAATTAGCATCGTGGAGAGAGAAAGTTGATCAAGTTGAGCCATTTACAATGAGTTATATTCCAAAGTAACTTATTAATTATTTACATTGATCAAGATGAAAAATATCTTCTGTGCTGACTGAAGTTTTATGGCGGATTTGGATAAATTGATCAACCAGTGGCACAAGGAGGATATATTCATATGGATAAGTTACATAGATATCGTATTTTGCATTTGATAAAAAAAAACAGTGAAACACACATATGTCACTCGTTACAAAATTATTATCCAGATATTCATTTCATCGTAGAACAAGAACAGCTTAACAGACACACACACACTATTCCATTTTTAGATATATTTACCATCAAATATATATCCAGATAACATTACACAGTTTATTATTTAAAAAAACATACAGCCTCCATAACACACACTTCACCTCAAGTTGCCCCATCCCTATATATATAAAAGTCAGTGTATGTATGTATGTATGTATGTCGGCTGTACACGTCCACAATACGTAACTAATCTGGCTGAAATTTTAACAGTATATAGAGTTGAATCTGGAAAAACTTATAGGTAAATTTTCAAGCTTCTATCTCGAATATCCTTGGAGTTATTAACAAATTATCAACATATTTTCCCCAATTCACTCGCAACTAGCGCCTCACTGCGGTAATTTCGAGAAGTAAACGACCATATGGAGCCCTCCCACGGCGCGACGGGTTTTGGATAGTGACCTTGAGTGAGGTAATGATGGCGTAGGGGCAAGAAATCACTTGCTATCATTTCATGTATATATCAAATTTAAAATAAATTCATATTGTAGGCGCCATCCCGACCAGAGAACCACAGATAAACAGATTATAAACGCACAGAATATAGAATCCGAGCTCCCCAGTAGAAGGAATACCCGGAAGACGACGGTACTCTCTGTTACATGTGTTGTTCACTATTATGATTTTGTTTTAATAAACGCTACTAAATTATTTTCATTGGATCCTCTCTTTCTTTTTCCCAGTAAGAAACGCCTACGGAAGCCAACAGAAATTCAGAAGTGGGATTGTCCTGAAGAAAATTGAAGATTCACTGGAATAATTTGGAAACGAGAAGGACGTGGCGCGGTGACCGATCAACGTAAGAGGAGTTGCATGGTATGTACGAAATTTAATTACCTATTCCTAAAAGTATTATTACAAGTCACCTCGACAAAGCATTATCGCAAAGTATCGCGGTAAAAGTATTATTACAAGTCACCTCGACAAAAGTATTATCGCAAAGTATCGCGGTAAAAGTATTATTGCAAGTCATCTCGACAAAGTATTATCGCAAAGTATCGCGGTAAAAGTATTATTG